CAAATGGACAATGAAAGAGACAGCATGGTTTTTCAGGGATCAGGAGTTCCAGCTCTTCACACCTAGATAGCCCCTTGCATTTACCCACAGCACCATGGTGAGGGCCCCACCCTCACAACCTCAGCTAGGCAGCCTTCCCTTGCTGTCACCTGGGGACTGGTTCCAGAACCCCTGTGGATACCAAACTCCATGGATGCCCATGTCCCTTGTAGAAAATGGTTTAGCACCCACACATAGCCTCCTGTGGACTCTTGAGTGAGCTCCAGATTACTTACAGTAAACTAATACAATATAAATATTATGTGAATAGTTGTCAACACTCTTAGGGAGTGATGACAAGAAAAAAAGTCAACATGCTCAGTAGCCATGATGTTCCCCCCACCCCCGGATATTTTCTGTGTGTGGTTGGCTGAATCGTGGATGAGAGGCCCCAGATGCAGGGGCCGTTGCACCTGATCGCTGCTCTAAAGCCATCGCCCTGTGCCATCACTCTGTGGGGTGGGCTTCACCACGGGAGTGTGCTGGGGGACAAGGACATTATCCTGTGTTGAACTCGGAGTCTGGACTTGGCAGTTGGGCAGACTCATGTAGGGATTCAAGCGCCGCCTCATGGTTGCTGTGGGACTTTAAACGCTGCAACTATCATCCACCATGTCCCCAGGTGGTGATAGGAGCCACAGCACACACCAGTGATCCTGGGTGTGCAGTAGAGCGTGAGGCGGTGAATAATGGGTAACAGGCCTCCTGTGCTTGCGCTTGCAGCGACCTGCGGAACGAGGCCGCTGACTCTTTCGCCTCCGCCTTTGCCGCGCTGGTGCTCTACTTTGTGGAGCTGGTGAAGTGCAGCCTCCAGGCCATGCAGGAGATGGAGACTTAGGGGAAGATTGTCAACAGCCAGAAGTAAGTGCCGCTCCCAGGAACCAGCTCCGGCTCTGTTGCCTTGGGGTAGCCAGTGTGGCTTTCACTGTGTTGTGCTAAAATGAAATCACACATGCGGAAGCAGATTGATCTGCTGTGAATCTAGATGCTGCCGCCCCAGTCCCAGTTGATGGCTTTCTGAGAGCTTGTCTCAGGGCCGTCCCAGCCCCTAGAATGTCTGAGGCCCATGTTTAACACCCCGGCAGTGGGGATTCACGAGCTCAGTTCCCCTTTGGGCCCCTGCGGTGCCTAAGGCACCATCCTGAACCAGAGACGAGCTGAGCCTTCCCAAGTGCCAGTTTAGAATCTGAGCCGGATATTCCATGCCCTCTCCCAAGTTTCACAGAGGGGTTCAGCCTGAGCACCCCAGATCCCATAGCTTTATCTCCCTCCCTCCCCAAGCCTTCCAGCCTACCTGCAAAGGGTCCGAGCTCTGAACACAGTCAGCAAAACCTTGGAAGTCTAGCAGCTCACTGGTGTTCAGATTGCTGCCCAACTCAAGTAGAGTGGGCCCTCATCACTTGCGAGGGTGCATGTGCCAGATGCAGCAGGACATCTGAATTAGAAAGTAGTTATTATCATTCCTAATCATAATCTTGACATCCGGCTGGCCAAAGTTCTGGTCAAGAACATTGCTGTGGCTAACTCGAAGCCTGCTGGGGAAAAGCAGTAGACAGAATGACAGACTGACAGCTGTCTATCTTCACCCAGCAGGAATGGGATTTGTGACGGTGCCCTGTTTTCTGCACCCTTGACATTCATTACATCCTCTTTGAATCTGTCCGTCATTGCTTGGAAGCCCAAGAGTGAAAGTCTTTTAAACAGTGCAGTACAGCATGCGGGCAGTGTCACAGACAGCCGTCACAGTGTGCAGTGCTAGCAATGTGACTTTTTAAGTGGTGCACAGAATAAGAGAGAGCACATTAACAGCACGCGGGTCCTGCTCTCAGGTTCCATGGCAGTGATTTGCAGATGAGGCAGTCGGCCCTAGGTATCTGTGGGGAAGTGGTTCCAGGACCCCCTCATAACACCAAAATCTGTGGGTGCTCTCGAGCCCTTACATACATGGCAGACTGTTTGCATAGTGCCTACACGTACCCTCTCAGTTGCTCTAAATCAGCTCTGGGTGGCACAATACCTAACACTATGGCAATGCTCCAGTACTTGCCATCTCACGATCTTGCATAGGGAGCAATGATGAGACCAAGAGTCTGTATGGCTGCCGCGGCCAGCGTGCTGCGGCCGGCGCACCACGCTGATCCGATGGCAGGAGCCAGGTAATTCTCTGGTCTCCCATGGGGTGCAGGGCCCAAGCACTTGGGCCATCCTCCACTGCACTCCCTGGCCACAGCAGAGAGCTGGCCTGGAAGAGGGACAACCGGGACAGAATCCGGCGCCCAGACCTGGACTAGAACCCGGTGTGCTGGCGCCACAGGTGGAGGATTAGCCTATGAGCTGCGGCGCCGGCCTCTATTTTTTATTTTTATTATTTTTTTATTTTTTTTTTATTTTTATTTTTTGACAGGCAGAGTGGACATTGAGAGAGAGAGACAGAGAGAAAGGTCTTCCCTTGCCGTTGGTTCACCCTCAAATGGCCGCCGCGGCCAGCGTGCTACGGCCGGCGCACCACGCTGATCCGATGGCAGGAGCCAGGTACTTATCCTGGTCTCCCATGGAGTGCAGGGCCCAAGTACTTGGGCCATCCTCCACTGCACTCCCTGGCCACAGCAGAAAGCTGGCCTGGAAGAGGGGCAAACAGGACAGAATCCAGTACCCCGACCGGGACTAGAACCCGGTGTGCCGGCGCCGCAAGGCGGAGGATTAGCCTAGTGAGCCGCGGTGCCGGCCCCCCACATTTTTTTTAAAGTTCTTACATTATTAGTGCAATTTCAGCATCCATGGCCCTTCCTGAAAGTAATAGTGTATTTCCACCAAGAAAGCTAATGTGGCAGACTGAAGTTGCTCTGATGCCCACTTTCATCACCCTTGTTTAATATAGTGTTGGAAGTTTGAGGCACAATTTGGGAAGAGAAATTGAACTTTGAAATTGCAAAGGAGGAAGTCAAAACAGCCATGTTGACATGGATGACATGTTGTTGTACATGGAAAAGCCTAAACACTCTAGCGAAAAGCATTTGAACTGATAAATAATACAGTCTAAGATTAGAAAACCAACATAAAAAAAGTAAATTTTTGTACATCAGTAATGAACTGGGCAAGAGGAATCAAGAAAAAGTCTCATTCACAATGGCCATCAAAAAATCAAATATTTAGGTATAAATTTACCAAAGAAGTGAAAAATCTCTACCATGAACATTATAAAATGAAAGAAATCATGAACACATACACACACACACACAAGTTCCTTGCTCATGGATAGAAAGAATCTTATTAAGATATCTGTACTACTCAAAGCAGTCTACAGAATGAACACAATTCCTATCAAAATACCAATGACATCATTTAAAGAAAAAATCTTAAAAATTCACTTGGAATTTTACAAAAGTCCCAGAATAGACAAAGCAATTGTGGGAAAAAAATGAAGTTGCAGGCATCACAGTGTCTCACTTCAAAGCATACTACAAAGCTATAGTAATAAAAGCAGCATGCTACTGGCATAAAAACAGGCACATAGATCACTGAAATGTAATAGAGAGACCAGAATTTAATCCCTATGAATACAGCCAGCTGATTTTTGACAAAAGTGCCCAGACCAGAACATAACATTAGAGAAAGGATAGTCTTTTCAATAAATGGTAATGGCAAAATTGGATATAGAATGAAGTTAGGTTCTTGTCTGTTGCCAGATACAAAACTCAACTCAGTTGGATTGAAGACTTAAATTTAAGACCTAAGACTATGAAATTGTTACAAGAAAACAAGGGAAATGCTTCAAGGTAATGGAGTAGTTGACAACTTCTTGAGTAAGACCTGAAATGCAGGCAACAAAAGCAAAAGTAAACAAAATGGGCTTGTATCAAACTCAGAAGCTTCTGCCCAGCAAAGGAAACAACAGAGTTAAGAGACATCCAACAGACTGGGAGGAAATATTTCTAAGCTACTTATCCAACAAGGGCTAGTATCTAAAATAGATCAGCAACTCTAAAAACTCAACAATAAGAAAACAACCAATTCATTGAAGAAATGGGCAGAGGATTTGAATAAACAGTTTTTAAAAAGTACAAATGGCCAACAAATAAATGAAAAAGTGCTCAGCATTACTAGCCATTAGGGAAATGCAAATCAGCACCACAATGAGACATCACCTCAGCTCTTTCATAATGGTTGTTATCCAAAAGAAAGAAAACAACAATGCTGGTGATGTTGACAGAGGGGCATTTTTTACACTGTTGGAGAGAATGTGATTAGTGCAGCCACTGTGGAAAATGTATGAAATTTTCCTTAGAAACTAGAAATAGACTTGCCGTAGGAACCAGCAATCCCACTCCTGGATATATACCTCAAAAACATTAATAACATTTTATCAGAGATACATGTTCCACCATATTTACGGCAGCACTGTTCACAGTAGCCATAATATGCAGTCAATCAAGGTTCCCAGTATTAGGGGACTGGATATAGAAAATGTGATAAACACACGCATATACCCAAATAGAATATTATTCAGCTATAAAAAATGAAATTGTATCATTTGCAGCAAAATGGTTTGAACTGAAAGACATCGTGTTGATCAAAATCAGCTGTATATAGAAAGATATATATCACGTTTGCCCTTATACGTGGGAGCTAAAGTTAAAAAAAGAAAAGGATGGAGGAGGAAGGAAAGGAAAGGGAAATGGAAAGGATTAAAAGAAAAATATACCTGTGTGCATCAGTTCTGTTGCAAATACAGTGTTTTGTTAAAGTTCGTATTAAATGTGACCAAAAGATTGATAAGAATTATGTGCTCCGATAGTATTAATGCTTCTGTGACTTTTTAAATTTGCTTTATATGAGTGACGTTGGACATCTTTTCACTTGGTTATTGATTATAGACCTTGCCTAATTTTCGGTTGCACTATGGTCTTTCTATTTTTTTTGAACTTTTTATTCAATAGAACATTAAACCTTTGACTGTAATATAAATTAAAAATGTCATCTCAAAAACTTTTAATAAAAGTACTTAAAGAAACAGTAGTCAAGAAAACGTGATTCCCTGTGGCCACAGGGCTGTCTTCTTTACAGAATTCTTCAGGCATGGATGAAGCTGGTCTGCGCAGGGCTGATGGATTTTAAAACAATACAGATTATTCAGTATTTCTTTTGTCTTTTGTATGCAAAAAGAAGTTACTGATAATTCTTTATTTGCTGTGTTTACCAAGATTCTGTTACCCTCCTGCTGTGTGTGTGTGTGTGTGTGTAACTGAAGTTTGTCACATAATCTACCTGTGCAGTGCTTTGAACAAGAGAATAGAGTGTCAGTGCTGGGGACTGGTGTGTGAAACATTTCTCTTCCCTGGGTTTAAATTTTAGTCTTTGCTGCTGAGCTGATGTTTGGTAACAGAGAGTTTGCAAATCAAGTAGAGGAAGAAAATAGAAATTAGCTTTCTGAAAAATCTAAATACTTCCCCAAAAATATGTAAGTAAATACATATTAATGAGACAATAAAATCAATCATTTGATATAAGAGTTTGGTATCTCAAAATTATCCAGAATGATAACCTAATGCTCCTTTGCCCTCTGTTCCACATTTATCTCATCATGAGGTGGAAACTTCTCATGAAGTATATTACTTGAAAAGGAAAGAAATATACGTCAGCATTGTGGTGTGGCAGGTTAAGCCATTGCTTGTAACTAGTGTCACCTATTGGAGTGCTGATTAAGTCCCAGCTGCTTCACTTCTGAATGAAGATAGCCTAAGGGAGTGAAGATAGCCCAAGTGCCTGGACCCCTGCCATCCATATAGGAGCCCTGGAAGGAGTACTGGGCTCCTGGCCTTGGCCCTGTGGCCATTTGAGCAGTGAACCAGTGGATGGAAGGTATGCTCTCTCACTCTCTCTTTTGCATACTCACTCTTTCTCTTGCTCTGTGTTTCAAATAAATAAATTTTTAAAAAATCACTATTGGCACTTTAATGTTTCATTTCTCAACTATATATAATTATATACATACACATAAGTTGGTCTATGTGCCTACAAATTGATAGCTTAGGAAAACATGTGTGGCACCAATTAGGAAGCATATGATGTGTGTTATAAGAGGAGGTACACTTAAAAGGGTACCAGCTACAGGATAATTACCTCATGTAGTATTGAAATAAATCTCAACTGCGAAACATGGACCATAGATTTTCCAGGCTTTTCGTTTGTGTGGGTTGTCCAATTCATTTCGTCTTAGATATAGCCTTGGGGGGAAAAGCAAGCACACATTACATTTTATTTTAGGGCTAATAGTCAAGCCCTGCAGTAGGGCCCCTTGGCCTTCATGAAAAGCCTTGCTCACCACATTTGGAACCTCAGCCTTTTTTTGTGTCTTCCTTGGCTTCCTCCACATCTCTCACAGAATACCTTCATCTTCACTAACAAGTACCTCAGTGACAACATACTACCAAATCTTTTAGCATCTCCTTGTATGGAATTAATGACATCCAAGATTGATAAAGCATCTGGTTGCATAGAAGACAAGTCCACCAGAGGCTGGACGTGTAATAATACCGAGTAACAGTGCCAGCATTGTGGTGTAGTGGATTAAGTTGCCACTTGCAATGCTGGCATCCCATATTAGAGTGCTGATTTGAGTCCTGGCTGCTTTGCTTTTGCTTCAACTCCCTGTTGATGGCCTGGGAAGGCAGCAGAAGATGGCCCAATGGCTTGGGCATCTGTTGCCTACATCATGCCTCTCCCTCTCCTTCTCTGTCTCTCTCTCCCTCTCCCTATCCCTCTCCCTCTCACTTTCCCTCTATGTCACCATTTCCCTCTCCATTCTCTCCCACCCTCTCCCTTGCCCCCTCTCCCTCTCTCCCTCTCCCTCTTCTCCCTATCTCCCCTCTCCCTGCTCTCCCTCTCCCTCTCCTTGGCAGAGGCTTTAACACACTGTGCCACAGAGCTATCTCTCACCTTTCAAAGAAATTAATCTTTAAACAATAATAAAACCCAATAATACAGTGTTTTTTTAAGAATGACATTGGTGTTTCTGATTAAACAACATCCTGATAGCTATAAAAACTGCTTTGCCAAGTAGTATGTACATGTAAAGCTTACAGAAATATTTAGAAACTTACATAAAAATGATCTAATGTTGCTTCTCCAGTATGAACACATTGTTTCAAAGGACAAAACTGTACACTGTAGTAACAGCCATTTTTTAGGAGTAGCACCAGGTTTCTCTATTTGAGGGACTTTGCTCATGTACTGAATCAAAGTTTATTGTTTGTTTATATCAGATATGAATGGATAAAAATTTGCCATGAAATCCAACATTTGCCCTCAAAATGCATTAAATGTGCATGCACACAGGAGTGTGTGTCTGATGTTCCCTCTGCTGTCTTCTTGTAGGGCTTGGGATGCCACTAGAGCCAGTTCAGATTTCCAGCAGAGTAGGGTTGGATGTGATGAATATCAAATAAAGCCACGTGCAATTGCAACCACCTTAACTCTAACCTGAAGAAGTTTCAAAATCTTTTTTCCTTTGGGTTGTAGGGTATGTTGATATCATCTTTTCACTCCCACAGAACAAAACCCCAAAGTAGAGCACTTCTAGATTCAGGAATGAATTTCCATATATGGGTAAAATGTTCTTTGGAGTAATAACCTTCAAATCCATTTAATAAATGCTTTTTAATAAAGTTTTCTGATTGAGTTGTTAGAGAAATGTGTAATTGGGAGACTATTAAATTATTTCTTGTCTCTCTTGATCCCTCTCTCTCTTATGCTCTCCTCCTCTCTTACCCTCTTGTGCTGTCTCCCCAGCCCATCTGGCTTCCCCCACCCAATAATAAACCTTTCCTCTAACTCTGGTGTCTGGTGTGTTTTGTGGCAGCCTTACATCAGTGCCATGACTCAGATCCAGGCTCCCCCATTGATCTTGCTCTCCCTTTGGGAGAGCCTCCAGAAATTGTGCCTTAGATTAGCACAGGTTGATGATTGCTCCTATGTGGATCAGCACTTATTGAGGACCTGCCATATCTTGAATTCAAGGTACTGAGCATAATCATATTGAATTTCACTGGGAGTACATTATTACCACACTCAGCATCTGATTTTAATCCTTTGTAACTTAGAACGTAGTCCTCTGGCATGGCCCATGAGGATCCTACAACAGTTGAGTCTCACATAGTTTTTAAATAATCACATTGAGCAAATGCAATGAAGAATGGTGGCTTAGGATTTTCTGGTTTATTATATATCGAGATTATAACAGTTGGCAAAAGAATTGCCATTATACCTTACACACAGGCATTGAAGGTTAAGCTATTTCTATTGGATTTATATTATATCCATACCTGTTGTTTTGTATGAAAGCTGTATTGAACCAGAAGAAGAATGCACATTTGTCATAATATTTGGGGAGATTCTAAAAAGACATGGTTAAAGAAAAAATGGTTATTTTCACAGTAAAATTGATACCAAGAACTAGTTCCAGAGGATAATCCCTTTGGATTCTTTCCTTTATTCTTCTATATATTGCTCTAACAACTGTACCCATTAAGTAGGCAGCACTCTACCCCTGATAATACACCTAGAGACACAAGGAGGAGACTAATAGAATGCTCTTGCTTTGTCTTTTTGTTTCTATCAGGAATTTCAAGGATGGCATGGGCTTTGGGCATAGCAGTTAATATGCCCCTTGGGACACCCACATCCTATATAAGAGTGCCTGGATTCAAGTCCAGCTCAGCTCCTGATTCTAGCCTCCTGTTAGTGCACAGCCTGGAGGCAGCAGGTGATGGGTCCCTGCAACCCATGTGGGAGATCAGATTTGAATTCCTGGCTCCCAGCTTCACCTTTCTCCAGCCATGGCTCTTGTGGGGAGTTGAGGCATAACCTAGAAGATGGGAAGTCTCTTCTCTCTGCCTTTCTTTTTTTTTACTTATTTGACAGGTAGAGTTAGACAGTGAGAGAGAAAGAGACAGAGGGAAAGGTCTTCCTTCTGTTGCTTCACCCCCCAAATGGCCGCTATGGCCAGCACTGTGCTGATCCAAAGCCAGGAGCCAGGTGCTTCCTTCTGGTCTCCCACGCAGGTGCATGTGCCCAATCACCTGGGCCATCCTCCACTGCCTTTCCTGGCCACAACAGAGAGCTGGACTGGAAGGGGAGGAGCCAGGACTAGAAACTCGTGCCCATATGGGATGCTGGCACCACAGGCGGAGGATTAACCAAGTGAGCCACGGCACTGGCCCCTTTTTTTGTTGTTTAATTTATTTGTTGAGGAATATAAATTTCATAAGCACTATGTTAGAAATATAGTTATTCTTCCCACCATACCCACCCTTCAACCCATACTCCCACACCACCACCACCTCCCTCTCCCCTTGCCAGTCTCATTCTCCATTAAGATTCATGTTCATTTAACTTTGTACACAGACCCACCATATGACCTATACTAAGTAGATTTCAACAATTTGCACACACACACAAACTGAGAACTAATATTATAGTTAACTCATAATGAAACTCATTGAGGCAGAAGTCCTACATGGGGTGTTAGTGTACAGTGACTCCTGTTGTTAATTTAACTACTAACACTCTTATGTATGATATCAGTCACCACCTGAAGCTCTTGACATGAACCGCCTAGGCTTTGGAAACCTTTTAAGTGCACTAATTGTCAGCATTTGGACAAGGGTGTAAGCAAAGTGGAAGTTTTCTCCATCCTTTAGAGAAAAGTATATCCTTCTTTGATGGCCACTTCTTTCTGCTGGAGTCTCACTCACAGAGTTCCTTCATGTAGAACATTTTTTGCCACAGTGTCTTAGTTTTCCATACCTGAAATGCTCTCATGTGCTTTTCAGCCAGACCAGGAACCTTAAGGGCTGAATCTGATGTCAGAGTGTTATTAAAGCATTGTCATTCTGTTAGTCTACTGTGTGGATTGCTTCCCATGTTGGAACACCCTCTCTTTTTTAATTCTATTATTATTACCAGGCACTTGAACTTGATCTTATATATATATATATATATATATAGTTATTTTAACACTTACTATGATCACTTTAACAACTAAGATGGCATTTTTACCATCAAGCTTAATGGGATTTGGAGTCCCTTGACAAGTTTTTAAACTGTACCCTTACAATTAAGTCCACAGGAATGTATGTAGAATTATACAGCTTTACAGTTACAAACTTCCTCTTCCCTCTCTTATTCCCACTCTTATTTTTTACTGAGATCTATTTTCAATTGACTTTATATATACATATATAAAAATATATATTGTTAACTGTTAAGAGTTCAAAAAATAGTATGAAGGAAAAAAACAACAACAAAAAACTGTTTCTCGACAGTCAAGATTAGGGGAGCTCAAGTCATCTTCTCTTGAAGTGAATGTTGATTTCACTTGTACAGATTTTGTTTTAGGTGCTCTATTAGTTCTCACAGATCAGAGAGAACATATGATATTTGCCCTTTTGGGACTGGCTTATTTCACTAAGTATGATTTTTTCAAGATTCATCCACTTAGTTGCAATTGACCTGATTTCATTTTTTCTTTATTGCTGTGTAGTATTCCATAGTGTATGTATCAAATTATTTCTTCTTTTTAATTTATTTGACAGATAAAGTTAAACAGAGTGATAGAGAGACATAGAGAAAGGTCTTCCTTCTTTTGGCTCACCCCCAAAATTGCCACTATGGCTGGAGCTACACTGATCAGAAGCCAGGAGTCAGGTGCTTCCTCCTGGACTCCCATGCAGGTGCAGGGACCCAAGCTTTTGGGCCATCCTCCGCTGCCTTCCTGGGCCACAGCAGAGATCTGGACTAGAAGAGGAGCAACTGGGACTAGAACTTGGTGCTCATATGTGATGCCAGTGCTGCAGGTGGAGGATTAACCAAGTGAGCCACAGTGCTGGCCTCCCATTATTTCTTTATCCAGTCTTTGGTTGATGGGTATTTATTGTGATTGCATGCCTTAGCATTGTGAATTAAGCTGCAATAAACATGGAGGTGCAGATAACTTTTGTTTACTGACTTCATTTCCCTTGGGTAATTCCCAAGAGTCAGATGGCTGGGTCATATGTTAGGTCTATATTCAGATTTTTGAGGAATCTCCATACTGTCTTCCAGAGTGGCTTTACCAGTTTACATTCCCACCAACAAGGGAATAGGGTACATTTTCCCCCACATCCTTGACAGCATTTGTAGTTTGTTGATTTTTACAAAAGCCATTTGGGGCTGAGGTTAAAGCTCATGGATTTGATTTTCTATTTCACTAACAGCCTGATCCTTAACAATTTTTCATGTGTATGTTGGCCATTTTAAATTTCCTGTTTTGCAAAATGACTGTTTAAGTCCTTTTCCCATCTCTTAAATGGGTTGTGTGTTTTATTGTTGTGGAGTTTCTTGATCACTTTTTAGTTTCTGGTTATTATTCCTTTATCAGTTGCATAGTCTGCAAATAATTTCTCCCATTCTGTCAGTTGCCTCTTCACTTTGCTGAGTGATTCCTTTGCCATACAGAAACTTTTCAATTTGGTGTAATTATATTTGTTAATTTTGACTTTGACCGCCTGTGCCTCTGGGGTCTTTTCCAAGAAGTCTTTGCCTGTGCTGTTGTGAATGGGTTTGATCTTAGACGTTGAATATCAGCTGTGGCATTTTCTGTGTCTGCAAAATCTGTTGATTTTTGTGTATTGACTTTATATCCTGATACTCTCTATGACTTCCAATAGTCTCTTAGTGTTTTGGATCCTCTATATGTAGAATCATGTCACCTGCAAATAGGGATTCTTTTATTCCTGCTTCCCAATTTGTATCACTTTGATTTCTTTTTCTTGCCTGATTGTTCTGGCTTAACCTTTTAGGGCTATGTTGAATAATATTGGTGACAGTGGGCATCCTTGTCTGGTACCTGATCTCAGTAGGAATGCTTCCAACTTTTCCCTATTCATTTGGACACTGGTCATGGTTTATTCATAAATTGACTCAATTGTGTTGGGAAATGTTTCTTCTGTTTCCAGTTTCTTAAGTGCTGTCAGAAATTGCCTTGATTGTATTGAGGAATGTTACCTCTAAACCAACTTGCTTAGAGTTTTCACCATAAAAGGATATTGTATATCATCAAATGCTTTTTCTGCATCTATTGAGATAACATATGGTTTCTGTTCATCCTTTTGTTGATGTGATGTGTCACATTAATTGATTTGTGAATGTTGAACCATCCCTGCATACCAGGGATGAATCCAACCTAGTCTGGGTGGATGATCTTTCTAATGTGCTGTTAGATTCTATTGGCAAGAATTTTATTGAGGACTTTTGCATCTATGTTCATTAGTGAAATTGATCTGTAATTCTCTGTTGCATCTTTTTCAGGTTTAGGAATTAAGGTGATGCTGGCTTCATAGAAATAATGTGGAAGGATTCCCTCCCTTTCAATTGTTTTGAATACCTTGAGAAGAATTGGAGTTAGTTCTTCTTTAAATGTCTGGTAGAATTTGATATTGAAGCCATCTGGTTCTGGGCTTTTCTCTATTGAGTGGGCCTTTATTACTGATTCAATTTCCATCTTGGTTATGAGTCTGCAGTTATTCTGTGTTTTCATGGCTCAATTTAGGTAGCTTGTACGTGTCCAGGAATGTATCCATTTCTTCCAGGTTTCCCAGTTTGTTGGCATATAGCTCTTTGTAATAATTTCTGATGATTCTTTTTATTTCTGTGGTGTCTTTTGTTGCATTTCCTTTTTGATCTCTAACTTTGTTGATTTGGGTCTACTCTATCCTCTTTTTTTTTTTTTTGGTAAGCTGGGACAATCGTGGGTCAATTTTGTTTATTTTTTCAAAAGTAGTTCTTCCATTTGCTGATGTTTTGTATTGTTTTTTTGAATTCAATTTTGTTGATTTCTTCTCTAATTTTAATTAATTTTTCCTACTAGTTTTGAGTTTGGTTTACTGTAGTTTTCTAGATCCTTGAGATGCATTAATAGCTCATTTATTTGGTGCCTTTCCAATTTCTTGATGTAGGCACCTATTGCTATAAACTTTCCTCTCAACACTGCTTTGGCTGTTTCCCATAGGTTTTGATATGTTGTTTTGTCATCTTCATTTGTTTCCAGAAATTTTTTTATATCTCTGTTGATTATTCTATGACTCATTATTCATTCAGGAGCATGTTGTTCAGTCTCTATGAGTTTGCATATGTTCTAGAGATGCCTGGGTTGCTGAATTCCAGTTTCATTGTATTGTTGTCTGAGAAGATGCATGGTATGATTTCTATTTTTTTGTATCTGCTGAGACTTGCGTTATAGCTTGTATATTGTGAATCCTAGAGAAAGTTCCATGCACTGCTGAGAGGAATGTGTGTTCTGCAACTGTAGGATGAAAAAGTCCGTTGATATCTGTTAGGTACAGTTGGTCTATGGTGTCCAATAAATCTGCTTTTTCCTTGCTGAGTTTCTGTCTGGTTGATCTGTCCAATGCTGAAAGTGGAGTATTGAATTCCTCCAATACTACTGTACTGGAGTCTAAGTCTCTGTTTAGATCTCATAGCATTTCTTTTCCATAGCCAGGTGCCCTGTAATTAGGTGCATATACATGCTTTTATTTTTTATTTTTGACAGGCAGAGTGGACAGTGAGAGAGAGAGACAGAGAGAAAGGTCTTCCTTTGCCGTTGGTTCACCCTCCAATGGCTGCCGCGGCCAGCGCGCTGCAGCCGGCACACCACACTGATCCAAATGCAGGAGCCAGGTGCTTCTCCCGGTCTCCCATGGAGTGCAGGGCCCAAGCACTTGGGCCATCCTCCACTGTACTCCCTGGCCACAGCAGAGAGCTGTCCTGGAGGAGGGGCAACCGGGACAGAATCCGGCACCCCGATCAGGACTGGAACCCGGTGTTCCAGGGCCACTAGGTGGAGGATTAGCCTATGGAGCAGCGGCGCCAGCCCAGGTACATATACATTTATAATAATCACAGCTTCCTGTTGAATTGATCCCTTAATCATTACATAGTGACCTTCTTTGTCTCTTTTAAAAGTTTTTGTGTTAAAGTCTATTTTGTCTGATATTGGGATGTCTTACACCATCAGTTTTTTGGTTTCTTTTAGCATGGAATATCTTTTTCCATCCTTTCAATTTCAGTCTGCATGCATCTTGTTTGGTGAGATGTGTTTCTTATATGCGGTAAATAGATAGGTTTTGTTTTTAAATGGTTCAGCCAGTCAGCGTTTCTTATCTGGAGAGTTGAGACCATTTACATTCAAGGGGACTATTGATAAGTAACAACTTTGCCCTGCCATTTTTCCAAAAATATTCCTATTTTTTACTTTTAATTTCCAATGAACGTTTACTGAGAGATTTTCTTTCTTTACCTTCTTTCGTAGTGATGAGCGTGTTTCTGTGTTTCTGTGTGCAGCACATCTTATGCATCTTTTATAGGGCTGGAAGGGTGGTGACAAATTCTTTCAATTTCTGATTGTTATGAAAGGTCTTTATTTCACCTTCATTCATAAATGAGCACTTTGGAGGGTATAGTCTTCTGAGTTGTCAGTTGTTTTCTCTAATACTTGGAATATATCTCACCATTCTTTCCTAGCCTGTAGGGTTTCGGATGAGAAGTCTGCTGTGAGTTTAATTGGAGAAACTCTGAAAGTAATCTGGTTTTTCTCTCATGCACATTTTAGAATCTTTTATGTTTTACTGTGGTGAGTTTGATTTAAAATATGTTGTCGTGAAGATCTTTTCTGATCATTCTATTAGGTGTTCCTTGTATTTCTTGTACTTGAATGTCCCTTTTTTTCTCCAAATTAGGGAAGTCTTCTGTTATTATTTTACTAATCCTTTCTCTATTTCCACACCTTCATGAACTCCTAGAACCCATATGTTCAGTCATTTGATAGTATTGTATAGATTCCCAATGGTGTTTTTTTTTTAGTTTTTTTTTTTTTTATTTCCTCATCTTGTTTTTGGTTTCACTGTATAATTTCTTGTGCTTTGTCTTCTTCTTCTTCTTCTTTTTTTTGACAGGCAGAGTGGACAGTGAGAGAGAGAGACAGAGAGAAAGGTCTTTCTTTTGCCATTGGTTCACCCTCCAATGGCTGCTGTGGCCGGCACACCGTGCTGATCCAAAGCCAGGAGCCAGGTGCTTCTCCTGGTCTCCCATGCGGGTGCAGTGCCCAAGGACATGGGCCATCCTCCACTGCACTCCCGGGCCATAGCAGAGGGCTGGCCTGGAAGAGGGGCAACTGGGACAGAATCTGGTGCCCGTACCGGGACAAGAACCCGATGTGCCAGTGCCACAAGGCAGAGGATTAGCCTATTGAGCCGTGGCGCCGGCCGTGCTTTGTCTTTTAAGTTCGATATTCATTCTTCTGCTTTACTGAATCTGTTGTTTCAGGCTTTCCACTGCATTTTTATTCATTGTATTGAAGTCTGCATTTCATTTTATTTTTCTTTAAGATCTCAACTTTATGGGAGCAATTTTTTTCATGTCCTGTATGGATTTCAATAGTTCGTGCATTTGCTTCTGATTACTTCTATGTAATCTTATCATCATTTTTAATTCCATTTCTTGCATTTCTTCCATATCATTATCTTCACAATATTGTATTGAAGTGTTGTGTTCTTTTAGGTGTGTCACGTTATCTTCCTTATTCTTGTTTCTTCAATTAGTGCTCAAAGCCATGTTCACTTTTCCCTCTTGGGCTGTGATGGCCTTTATCTTTGTACTATGACTCTTTAGATAAGTGGAGTGTCTGCTTTCAGTGACTCTCTAGAGCCTTGTAGTGGGTGTGGTCAGGGAGCTCTTTTAAGTTCTCCAGGTAAAAGGACACATCTACGGTACATACCCAGGTATTGCCTGGTAAATCTCTCCCAATTATTTAATAGGGGAGGTTTATTCTGTTCAGATGAGATCCTCTCCTCAAAGGAGACCAGTGCCTGAGTTCTAGCCCCAGTGGGTATAATATTCATCTGCTCTACCCCTAAGAACACAAAGGATCTATGCAGTCCTCAGTGTAATTTCAGATACCACTGCATTGTACACCAGGTAACCATGGAGCCCTGAGCTTGTGGAGTCTCCTACTATAATTCCTAACCACACTGTAATTCCTCCCACACATCCTCAGTTTTTTTCCATAGTCCTTGCACAGAGGCTTCCCACAGTCACAAGCTCCTAGTCCCCATTAGTTCTCCCCACCAGAGTCAGGAGTCTCTAGTTTGCTGGTTGCTGGAGGTGGACACAAACTGGTGCATCTGTATGTATGTCCAAATTGGTGCCAGATCTATCTGCTTGTTACAGGATGGCATTCTAAAGTGATTGGGAAAAATGTGTCCCTCCTTTTTCTTTTTTCTCCTCTAGTTTGGCAGGTACACTATCACCCATGGGGCTCCAAGCCAGTTTCCTTCTAGGCTCTTCCTGAAACTTTATCACCAGCAGATTGGTTTGCTGTAGTCTGGTATCACCTCACTTTCTAAGACTGGTGCATAGGCTCTCAGCTTCTGGAGTCCTGAGTTGTGGGCATCCACGCCCTCCATGTCAGTCTACCATGTCCCTCTAATTTGTGTTTCCTCTGCCCTTTTTTTCTCTAACTCTTCCGTGAGGCTGAACTCTCTCCACTTTTTGTAAACTTTCTTCTCCTGGACTAGATCAGTAAGCTCCTTCCCTGCTACACCATCTTAGGACTCTTCCCTCTCTGCCTTTAAATATATAACTTTTAAAAATTTTAGGGGAATGGTGTTGTGGTGCAGCAGATTAAACACTGCTTGCAGTGCCACCACACCATGTTGGAGTGTTGCTTCAAGTTCTTGCTGCTCCTCCTCCTATCCAGCTTCCTACTAATGTGCCTAGGAAGGCAGCAGAAGATGGTCCAAGGATCTGCGGTCCTGCCATCCATGTTGTTGACCCAGAGGGAATTCCTGGCTTTTATTTGTATCATGTCCCTGACCTGGCTGTTAAGGCCATTACTGCCTCTCTCTGAGGCTCTGCCACCGGCTGGATGACTGAACATCTCCTGGATGCCCAACCCCTTTCATGTTGAAACTGCAAGGTATGCTGCTCTCTTCTCAATGGATCTGTGAATAATCAAAATGACTTTTGGGGTGGGCATTTAGTTTAATGGTTAAAATAGCTTCATCCCATACTGGAGTTTGATATCCATCTCTAGCTCCTGATTACACCTAGGGTAGACCCTTGAAACCAAAGTCATTCTGTTCCTGTCAAAGAATAGGAGACCTGGACTGACTTCCAGGTTCCAGGCTTCCACTCAGCCTCGTCATAGCCATTGTGGGCACTGGGAGCGTGAACCGCAAATGGGGCCTATCTGTCTTTCATATGTCTCTGCTTCTCAAATAGTTTTTTTTAAAAAACCTACTTCGTGTGTGTGTGTGCTTCCTCTGTTCTCTCCTGATCAACAGCCCTGGACTTTACTTTCAGTTGGTGTTCTCCTAGGGGGTTTCTATCTTGGTAGGACAAATTGGACAAAGTCCAACAAGAGCCACAAGGGCACTTGTCAGTGTGCTACTCAAGAGTTTTTAAAAAATGAATTCCTGTTGTATGCAAAAAAAATGGATGAAACTTGAAAACATCATACTTAATGAAATAAGCCCAGTCCCCAAAATACAAATGCCTTATGTTCTCCCTGATGTGTGATAACTAACAGAGTTCCTAAAGGTAATCTATAATAGTGAAATTGACACTTTGAGATGCAATGACTTTGAACAGCCCTTGTCTTGACTGTTGAGGAACACTTTTATTTTCCATACTAAATGTTGAACATTTAATTTAGTGTAGAGTTAATCAGATGAGTATAAAGTTAATTGAAAACAGATCTTAGTAAAAATTAGGAATGGGACTGAGAGGGAAGAGGAAGAGTGGTAGGAGTGTGGGTGGCCAAGCGCGTGTGGTGGCATAAATCACTGTGTTCCTGAAGTTGGAATTATGAAATGCATGAAGTTTGTATCCTTTAAATAAAAGATTCTGGGAAGAAAACAGGTTTCCTGGGAGAGCCACAGCTGCTGCTCACAGGCAGGCACTTAAGCATCAGGCATCTGCCAGGATAATGAAGCATCCTGTGAAAAGCACAGTGTAAACCTCCATGACCACCTCACCTGCAGACCTGTCAGGGCGGGCTACAGTTTACAGCCACCCTCCAGAGAGCCCTCAAGACCAAATTACTGGCATATTCAACAAATATCCCATTTCTATAAGGAACAGCTGCACTGAATAGTTAGCCCTACTTATTGAAGATGATACAGTGTTGATGATGATAGAAATATCTGACATTTTGAGTGCTTTCATAATCAAAGGCTGGATGTTACCCAAGTGCCCTGGGCCAATGACCTTTACACCATTGCTTCTACTTAGAAACCACTGTTTGAGTGAGAATTTAGAGCAGCTCCATTAGGTAGGAGGCCACCAGCCAGTGTGGTAACTACCCAGGTGACTTGTTTCAACTCAGTGACCACCTAAATACTTACAAATTTTTTCCAACAGGCAGCAATCAGGGGATGAAGGAAGGCACAAGAAATACATTTTAAGTGGCCCAACATACTTACCTGTTGGCAGTTCTGGTTGATGATTTCATAGGAAATTGAACTGAAACTATTGAGGATTATAAATTTGTTATGCAGAATAATATGCAAACACAACAATTTATGGCTGGTCAGTAGAAGTTATGCAGATATGTTCAAGTAAAGAAAATGAAAGGTATTCTTATTTCTTATAAGTTAAATATAGGCTTAATGTATACTATTTGTAATAAGCATCAATTTAGAGGAAAGCGAAGTCCCATTCACTTTATGGCAATGTATTTTAAAGGTATAAAACAAAGAAGTTGTCACTGCTATGTAGTAAAAACATATCTTTTTTTTAACACTTTGGTTTTTGGTTTTTGAATAGTAATATATATATATATATATGTACATATATATATATAAAGTAGAATTTAAAAACACAAATGAGCTTAATACATGTGAATTATATAGAATGTTTTTTTTAAAAGGGAAAAAAATCTGATTACATATGTTTTTCTTTTTTGAAAGTATGTTAATGATATGATGCTTTCTTCTCATTCATGGTTATAGATTGACATCTCTCATCTCTTCTCTTGGGATTTGTAGCAACAAACATCCTAAACCAAAATCAATCAAAAGAACAAACAAGTACAACAGCAGAAGTAATTTCTTGATTACTCACCCGAGAGAGAAATCTGACTTTAACGTCGTCATATAAGATGGGACAGTTCAACAATTCAAAAATGACTCTGTCAGTTTCGATATCATGAAATATCTGTGAATGCACACATGAAATTCAGAGCTAAAAAACTACCTGCTGATGGGATCTCTAAAACTGAAGTGTTTTCACTTATCCAGCCTTTCTGTATTTATCAAGTACTCTTAGCCTCATAGCAAACTCACTATATATATTAATAAATATAAACTGTTGGGGGCTGACACTGTGGCATAGCCAGTAAAGCCACCACCTGTGGTGCCAGCATCCCATATGGGTGCCGGTTGGAGTCCTGGTTCTCCACTTCTGAGCCAGCTCTCTGCAATGGTCTAGGAAAGCAGTGGACGATGGCCCAAGTCTTTGGGTGCATGGTTTCTGGGGAGACCCAGAGGAAACTCTTGGCTCCTGTCTTCGGATTAGCACAGATTGGCATTTACAGTTCCTAGGCTCATGAAAGAAGCTTTCTTATTGTTCCACAAAAGTCCTTATATAGTCTTAGGCATCACTTAAACATTTTACAAACCATTGACTACTAGGGTCCCATTGCTTTGGGTAAAAAGACTCCTCTTTCATCCATATGCTTGCATAGTTTCTCATAGTGCTAATCCACAGAACCGTTGAGTTAGAATCATCTGGAGCATTGCTAAAACTACAGATAGCTGAGACCTATACCAGATTTCCTGAATCATACCTTGGAGGCTCAGATGATGAATTTACATCTTTACAAACTCCTGGGAGATTTTCTGGTACACTACAATTTGAAATTTCAGTGCTGGACAGTAAAAGGTAAAATTACCAAGAGGAAAAAATATGGCTAAAAATAATTATAATCTGAAATGTTTTTTGACAGGCAGAGTGGGCAGTGAGAGGGAAGACAGAGAGAATGATCTTCCATTTTTCCACTGGTTCACCCCACAATGGCCGCTGTGGCCAGTGTGCTGCGGCCAGCACACCGTGCTGATCCAAAGCTAGGAGCCAGGTGCTTCTCCTGGTCTCCCATGCTGATTCAGGGCCCAAGTACTTGGGCCATCCTTCACTGCCCTCCCGGGCTACAGCAGAGAGCTGGAATGGAAAAGGGGCAACCGGGACAGAATCTGGTGCCCCAACCAGGACTAGAACCCGGTGTGCTGGCGCCACAGGCAGAGGATTAGCCTATTGAGCTGCAGCACCTGCCATAATCTGAAATTAAAATCTTGATAGATTGCTGGTTATATGCTCAACATTTTTGGGAACCTGAATGGCAAAGCCACAATTTAAAATGATATATATTTTAGAAAATACCCTGAACAAACCTTTTTTTTTTTTTAAAGCAATTTGGTTATTTTAGCTCTGGTTTACATCCAAACTCTTGGTTTCCATGTTGGGTAGTAACTACAAAGCAACATAACATCTCCTTTGTGGTGAGTGATGGTTTGGGAAGGCCAACATGCTGATTTAAACATGAGCTTTAAAACAAACTTCAGAATTTTTACTTCATATGCTTTCTCTTACCTTACAGTTCTTAGAAGATGAGCATGAAAAGACTGTCTGTTGCATTGTTATGATTTGAATTTTTAGGTCACTTCCATCACCTTTCCCAACACCTTTATAAAATTAAAAAGATAGGCACACTAATGAGGAAACAGTAAAATATTCTAGCTGGTTCAAAGTACCACACACTGACAGGCAGATAGTAAATGATGCAGTGAACCTACAGCTAGATGCAAATGGGTCAGTAACCAATTGCAATCCACTGAGCATATCCAGGTTTCATTTCTTTGTACAAAAGTTGTTTGCATTATCACTTTTCTACAACTTACAAAGTAGTTGAAGAGCTCAAAGACAATGAAAGATGAAGATAATCCTAGAAAGCATGTAGTAACAGATAAGACATCACCCATTTCAAAGCCTCTCATTCTTTCTCCTCTCACTCTCCCCAGCTCCTCTCTCTTGTTGTCACAACCATTTGAAAGACTATTTTTATTCCAAAATCAGGCTGATCCCAGTAGGTCTGGCCTGGTTATCTACATGGGTGCAGGACAATTTTAACGTGCCCAACTGGCCTCTCTGAGTCATTCTAAAAGCTAAGACACATGGAAAGCTGAAACCTAGGGTCATGAAACCTCATATTCCTTTTTTTTAAAAAAATTATCTATTTATTTATTGTAAATGCAGAGTTACAAAGAGAGAGCGAGAGACAGAGAAAGATCTTCCATCTACTGGTCCACTTCTTCAAAATGGCCGCAATATCCATGGGTAGGCCATGCTAAGGCTGCACCCAGATCTCCATCTGAGTCTCCCACTTAGCTGCCAGGGACCCAAGCACTCAGGCCAACCTCTGCTGTCCTCCCAGGTGCTCCCACAGGGAGCTGGATTTGGACAAGCACTTACATGGATTGCTGACATTGTTGGCAATAGCTTAACCTTCTGTGCCACAATGCTGGCCCCTGAGATTGAGGTTTTTAAATCCTCTATTTTATGTTAGTCTGAAAGAAGGAAATCATGCCCATAAAATTCCACATGATTCACATCCACTAACTACTATTATAAATCTGGGCTAGTTCTTCTGTTTTCCAGATCTCTACCTTACACTTGTAAGCAAATCCAAAATAGTATTTTTGAAAGCTTTTATTTAATACATATAAATTTCATAGCTACAACTTTTTTTGTATAGCAGTTCTTCCCCCCACCTGCCCTCTTACCCTTACTCCCATCCCAGCTCCTACTCCCTCTCCCATCTCATTCTTCATTAAGATTCATTTTTAATTCTCTTTATATACAGAAGATCAACTCTATACTAAGTAAAGATTTCAACAGTTTGCACCCACACAGACACATAAGGTATAAAGTACTGTTTGAAGACCAGTCTTCATATTAATTCTCACAGTACAACTCATTAAGTACAGAGGTTCTACATGGGGAGCAAGTGTGCAGTGACTCCTGTGGTTGATTTAACAACTGACACTTTTATTTATGATATCAGTGATCACCCAAGGCTCTTGTCATGAGCTGCCAAGGCTATGGAAGCCTTTTGAGTCCACAAACTCTGAGATTATTTAGACAAGGCCATAATCAAAGTGGAAGTTCTCTCCTCTCTTCAGAGAAAGGTAACTCCTTCTTTGATGGTCCCTTCTTTCCACTAGGATCTATCACAGAGATCTTTCATGTGGGCCATTTTTTGCCACAGTGTCTTGGCTTTCCATGCCTGAAATGCTCTCATGGGATTTTTAGCCAGATCTGAATGCCTAAAGGTATGATTCTGAGGCCAGAGTGCTGTTTAGGCTTTGAGTTTTGAGAAACTATTCTCATTGTTCCTATGAGAGATAGGTGTTAAAACTTCATTAGGCTAAAATGCCCATTGACTTCCCTGAAATTGTTTAATACTCACCAGGATTTCTTTAGATACCCTAGAGTAAAGCTCATCTGTATACAGCCACCAGAAAATCTTCCCAAAGAATGGGAACATTGTCACTTCTGCCCAGTTTTTCAATTATACATAAAACACTTACTATGAATTGAATGAATGATGATTTTGTTTGGCTGGAGGATTTTTCTGGGTGGGAGAGTCCAGTGGTGGAGACGCTTCACCTTTTCAAAGTAGCCTACATATCTATGCTGCAAAGCAACAGAAGCTTCAAGTTAGATGGAGATGAAAAGCTGAAAGTCAGAAATTCCTATTGTGAGGGCAGGTCATAGAGCTTTGTAAGGGCAGCAAGATATTAAGGAAACACTTGCTGGATTCTGTTATAAAACAGGGTATTTTTATGTGTGTGGCATTACAACTGCATTAGGAAGCAATATTGAACTAAGTGCTATGGGAGGAAACCAGAAAGGAGTCAGGTCTGGCTTATAGGTTGATTATAATTATTATTGTACAACATATTGATGTGTGGATAGAAGCAAGGTTGTGACTGAGTTACAGGAAGCTTTGTGATTGGTGAAGAATTATCACTTGACATAAAGGAACCTCTGCCCCGGGGCCTTGCCAACAGAGTTCTCAGATCTGAAGTCTGCAAGTGAGTCCTTCTATTGCTACCCCAGTGAATCAGAAGATATTCAGGTGTAGCATATGGTATGCTAGTTCTGGACTAAAGTCTGGGAGACTGTGCATGACTACAGGAGAAATGGAAAAAAGGAGATGTATGGAGAGAGTCAGTGAAGGAGCTACATTTCACATGCCCTTGAATCCTGCTGCCAGATTCATGGCATGAGGACATAGTGTTGAAAAGCTGGGAAATGCAAAGGGTCTAACTGTGTTAGAGTATGGGATATGTGACAGCACTTAGTGGAGGAGAACATTTGAAAAATCCAATTGTAGAAGATCTTGAGAACCAGATTAGAACATAAATTTGCCAGGGAAACAGGGAGCCACCATGGATTTTGGGCATGGAAATGGTGTGATTAAAGATGGACTTCAGTAAGTTGGTATATTACTTTCAGCCTATGGTATGTGTGTATCTTGTTTTTTTTTTTTTTTTCAGCGTAGGTATGGGAGAAAAGTATTAGTGGGTAAGGCTGAATTCTTTTATCCTAACCAAAAACCTAGGGCAGGCAGTTACCATGTGCTGCTTTCAAAGCCCAGAGTAGCTATTCAGTTGCCATCACTTCAGTCAAAGAAAATCTCTCATTCACAGCTACATTCACATCTCCCTAAGAATTCTCAACCAGCTCTCATTTTGGTTTTAGGGGAACAATACAGAAGAGAAGCTGTCCACAGAATGGACTAAACTGGGCTTCAGAGTTTGAAAGATCCAGACTTCAGTACTTGGTTCCAGTGGTTAATTTCTCTGAACTTCAATTTCATAATCTAAAACAGGATTCATAATCACACCTACTCATGGAGTTATTGAGAATATTAAATGAGGAAATGAATATAAGGTTCTTAGCGTGTCTCAACAAAATCTAGACTGTTGTAAACTCCATCAGATAAATGCTTTGATTTCTGCAATAAACAAATCACAAGGAATAAAAATGAGATGGGAAACAGAAATGGAAAGAGACCTAAGAAAAGTGGTGTTCAAATGAAATGTCTGGGCCCTCTTTTATCCTAACTGAAACAGAGTTTTCTAAGACACTTAGGCAATTATGAAAATTTAAAAATAAGCTAGAAATTTGAAATTGTTAACTAAGATTTTTTAAGGCATGCCATTTTTAGATATGATAAATGGTAGTAAGAGTTTTGGATTCTTCTTGAGACCTTATGTTAGATGTCATACCAAAATACTTGTGAGATAAAAATGATCTGATGTCTGTAATTTGCTTCAGAATAACCCAGGTTTTGGGAAAGACAGCGTGGAGTAGGGTTGAGGAGTTTGAGTAGAGAGGGGAGGGAATGAATGAAACATGATTGGTTGGTTATGGGATAAAGTGATCATTGAAGTTGCATAATGAGTATAAAGGGATTTATTGTATAATTCTTTTTTGTATATGTTTGAAAATTTTCATAATCTTTTTAAAGCAAAAATATTACCAATCTCCACATGACTGTTAGGATTATTAAATGAGATACTTGTAAGTAGAGAATTGTTTGGTAGTTTTTTTTTTTTAATTTATGTATTATTTATTTGAAAGGAAGTGTCACAAGGAGGCAAAGGAAGAGAAAGAGAGGTCTTCCTTCAGCTCCTCCTCTCCAAATGGTTGGAGCTGGGCCATTGGGTGACCAGGAGCCAGGATCCTCTTTCCAGTCTCCCATGGGAGTGCAGGGGCCCAAACACTTGGGCCAAGTTCTGCTGCTTTCCCAGGCCACAGCAGAGAGCCAGATCAGAAGAAGAAATGTAAGGACCCAAACTGGTGCCCATAAGGGATGAGGTCACCACAGGCGGCGGCACCACCTGCTAGGCCACAGCACCAGTCCCATAATAGAGGTTTTGAAAAGTGTTTATTTTCCTTTTTCTTTCACCTTCAAAATACAGTTTCTCCCTTTCCCTCCCCCTACACTCCCACATGGAAATCATCCAGAAGTAGTTCTTTCTTTCTTTTTTTTTTTTTTTGACAGGCAGAATGGACAGTAAGAGAGAGAGACAGAGAGAAAGGTCTCCCTTTTGCTGTTCGTTCACCCTCCAATGGCCACCGAGGCCGGCACGCTGTGGCCGGCGCACCGCGCTGATCCGATGGCAGGAGCCAGGTGCTTATCCTGGTCTCCCATGGAGTGCAGGGCCCAAGCACTTGGGCCATCCTCCACTGCACTCCCTGGCCACAGCAGAGAGCTGGCCTGGAAGAGGGGCAACCGGGACAGAATCCGGCACGCCGACTGGAACTAGAACCCGGTGTGCCAGCGCTGCAAGGCAGAGGATTAGCCTAGTGAGCTGCGGGGCCGGCCAGAAGTAGTTCTTGTGATGTGCTATGAGGGCTGAATTCCCCTGAGAGGGCTTGTGGAAAAACTCAGTTCTTCCTCAACAGTGAAATCAAAGGCAACTGACTTTTAGATAACCTTTAGGAGTCTGGAATCTTAGGTATTAGACTTGTCTATTACAGGAAAGTAATCAACTCCTGAACTCTGTGAAAAACAACAAATATCAAATGCTTTAGAGAGGACCCACTGCTCCTCAAGCCTGGGCAGCAACTGAGGTGCAGCTTTTGGTCCTGAGGAGGAGTTAAAGCCTGCTGCAGGACACCCAAGGGCCACTGCCTGATATCCAGCAGAGAAGAGTCTAAAGTGAAACCATGTGTCAAGGGCTAATCTTAACCCACTCCTCCCAAAGAAGTGCCCCCTTTAAAATGAAAACTTACTTGAGAGGGAGTTTCCACTCCTTGATATTTGGTGCTGGTGGTTTGATCTGTTCGTCGATGTCCAAAGAATGAAAGACTATCCTATAGAAAAAGGAACAATATAACAATGATTCATCTGCCACCTTCCCTTTCCCATAGTAGATGTTTTTTAAGTTTCTAAGGACAAATTATTTCCTTAAGGGAGCATTCTTTGAGGAGAGGTTGCTCAAAATAACAGTATTAAAAAGGCCACATCAGGCCGGCGCCCCGGCTCACTAGGCTAATCCTCTGCCTTGCGGCGCCGGCATACCGGGTTCTAGTCCTGGTCGGGGCGCCGGATTCTGTCCCGGTTGCCCCTCTTCCAGGCCAGCTCTCTGCTGTGGCCAGGGAGTGCAGTGGAGGATGGCCCAAGTGCTTGGGCCCTGCACTCCATGGGAGACCAGGAGAAGCACCTGGCTCCTGGCTTTGGATCAGTGCGGTGCGCCAGCCTCGGCGGCCATTGGAGGGTGAACCAATGGCAAAAGGAAGACCTTTCTCTCTGTCTCTCTCTCTCTCACTGTCCACTCTGCCTGTCAAAAAATAAATAAATAAATAAAAAGGTCACATCAAAGATATGTCTTCTTTGATTATTCCTACATGCATGGAATTTTAGAACTGGAAAACCCTTGGAAATTTGGTCCAACTCTTCTTCCTACACTTCCAATATACAAATGAGAAGACTGAGACCAAAAGAAAAACAAACAACCTGCTCTGGAGACAATGTGGCCAGTTGGATGCAGCACTAGTCCATGGCCCTCAGTCTAGGGCCCTGGACTATAATATTAATTTTTTAAAAAAATTTGAAACTCTGTGAGATCCCAGCAGAAAGAATGGGCCATCAAAGAAGGATGTACTTTTCTCTGAGGAGAGGAGAGAATTTCCACTTTGATTATAGCCTTGTCTAAATAAGGTCAGAGTTTGCGAACTCAAGAGGCTTCCATAGCCTTAGCAGCTCATGACAAGAGCCTTGGGTGATTACTGACATCATAAATAAGAGTGTCAATTGTTAAAACAACAATGGGAGTCACTGTGCACTTACTCCCCATGTAGGATCTCTGTCCTTAATGTGTTGTACAATGCGAATTAATGGTAACACTAATACTCAAACAGTACTTTATACTTTGTGTTTCTGTGTGGTGCCAACTGTTGAAATTTTTACTTAGTATATACTAAGTTGATCTTATGTATATAAAGATAATTGAAAATGAATCTTTTTTTAGGCTTTTATTTAATAAATATAATTTTCCAAAGTACAGTTTATGGATTACAATGGCCTTCCTCCCCATAACTTCCCTCCCACCTGTACCCCTCCCATCTCCAGCTTCCTCTCCCATCCATTTACATCAAGATGAAAATGAATCTTGATAAAGAATGGTATGGGAGAGGGAGTGGGAGATGGGATGGTTGCAGTTGGGAAGGAGGTTATGGGGGAAAAAGCCTCTATAACCCAAAAGCTGTAGTTTTAAAATTTATATTTATTAAATAAAAGTTTCAAAAATTATTAAAATAAAGGAAAATAGTTTGTCAGATGGAAAAACAAATTGAAACTATAATCCACATTAATAAACCCAGGAGACAGACAAGCACACACATAGACACACACACACACAGACACACACATCAAACATTGATATTTTCTATCTCCATTTTAGTAAGGAAACGTTACACACTAAGTTGCTTTTACAACTCACTGAAAAATAATGATGTTTGACTTAAACAGTGTCCTCGAAAACTTACTTTAAAACGTGTGTATCTTAAGTTATAAAGACAGAAGTGGCTAGATTAGAGGGCTGGCTGTTGTGCATAACCCTCAACTTGTCTTCTCTCTACTGCAGACCAGCAGACCAGAGCTGCTGGAAGTATGTGCGTAAGTGGCAGCTTCCCAACAATATCATGGCAGAAAATTAACGCTGCTTAAGACATGGGAGCAACTCACCTTGTTTTCTCAAGAGTTTCTATGTGTTACAGGTATTATGTCTATTGACTATGCAAAAATAATAACTAACCATTAGAGACTCAGTGGGAAAGCAAGATATTTTATCTATTTTTAGCATATTCAAGGGTAGCCAAGGTCCTCTGGAAAACTCATCTAATTAATCTTGATATTATCCCCATGAGGAAGGAAGAAGTCTCCCTAGTGGCAAGGATGCATCTCTTTTCCTGCAGTGCTCTGCATTTGTATAGTATGGCTTTTCTTACCTCACTAATCCTGCCCCTATTGGGACCCACCTGTATTTAAAAAGTTAATAGTATATACATCATGGCTTTTTAAAAAATTATTCTTATTTTTAAAATATTGCATTACAATTACCTTAACTACTGAGATTTTTGATATTCCCTTAAATTTTGTGCCTCACAAATTTCCCCCTAGTCCTGGTCCAGAGTAAGAAGTAGTCATTTATTAATTTCATAGTGGATATGAAACAAAGGAGCCAAAAAATACTTTCTAATGACAACCTCCCAATTACAGTTTCACTTAACCATAGGACTCAGAGAGTCACTGTAACATCCTAGCAGTGATGTTTCAGAACTAGCAATATCAGGCAGTACAAGACAGAGTGTGGCAACATCCTTCATACCTCTGCAGTACCAAAGAGCTGATTAGCAATGAGGCAAACACAGACCATGGTCCCAGTTCTCCCTAAAAAAGAAAAGAAGTTAAAGAAGCCAGTTCATGGTAGAACTTAGTATGAAAATACACTCAGAAGTATCCAGAGTGTGTTTTGCATTGACTTTTATACACCCTGAATGTGCTTGTTTAACCAAAATATTTAAGTTCAGTAATAGCCAAGATATTTCACTGTTTTGTGGCTGTATCTGGAATCTGATGCTGTAACTAGCCATGATACACATGAGCTCATGTGCACTTTTCTTTTTTCATGGATGATGGGAATCACTCTGGAGGCAATCAGTTCTGCCTAGGACTCCAGGGCTAAAGCCCCGCTTGCTAATTAGGAACTAATTCAACATTCTATGAACTATATGACATAAATGAAAGCACCTGTAAAAGTTAAAACAAGGGTCAGAGTTGTGGCGCAGCAGGTTAAACTTCTCCATTTCAGATCCAGCTCTTTCCTAATGAGTCTGGGGAAGCAGGAGCAGATGACCAAAGTACTTGGGCCCCTGCCACCCATGGCGGAGACCCAGAAAGTGTTCCAGGCTCCTGGCTTCAGCCATCCCCAGCCCCGGTCGTTGTGGTAATTTAGAGAATGAGCCAGTTGATAAACGATTTCTCTGCCTCTCCCTCTCTTTGTGTACCACTTCCTTTCAAATAAACATTCTTTTAGAAAAAGATTAAAATGAGGATCACAACTCAAAATGGCTTCTAGCATTTGCAATACTCATTGTTCCTTCCATAGAGTATTTCATTGTAGTACAAAAGTTTTCAAACATATGAAAGTACACAGAGCAGTATACTGAATCCTCATGTACTTTTCCTGATTCTGTAATTACTGGTATTTTGCTCTACTAGGTTAATTTTCCTCTCCTATTTCCTCCCTTTTCACCTACCCATCTCTTTTCTTCTTTTTTTAAAATAGATTTATTTATTTATTTGAAAGAAAAAGTTACACAGAGAGAGGAGAGGCAGAGAGAGAGAGAGAGGCCTCCCACCCGATGGTTCACTCCCCAGATGGCAGTAACGGCCGGAGCTGTGCCAATCCAAAGCCAGGAGCCAGGAGCTTCTTCTGGGTTTCCCATGTGGGTGCAGGGGCCCAAGAACTTGGGCCATCTTCTACTGCTATCCTGGGCCATAGCAGAGAGCTGAATCAGAAGTGGAGCAGCCAAGTCAGGAACCAGCACCCATGTGGGATGCTGGCACTTCAGGCCAGGCTGTTAACCTGCTGTGCCACAGCTCTGCCCCCAAAAGTTGAATTAAAAAATATGTTGCTTCTTTTATTACTGTAGCTTTTAACTTAGCCAACTAACACTGAACTGAATTATTTTATGTAATTCCAAACTTACTCATTTTACCTGAGATGCACAAAATTTTCTCTCATTTTAAAAATGTTTAATGAACTACTAAACTGCTTTCCCAATCTGTTATTGCAAACACTATTCTAAACCAGGTACTTCCAAAGAGGAGTTTTTCCACCTCTTGCAGGAAGTTTCCTGAAAAGGAGGTTACTGATCAACAGCTTGGCTGGCCCCTGACTCCAGCTTCCTCCTAATGCAGACTTTGGGAAGCAGTGGTGATGGCTCAAGTAATTTGATTACTGCCACCCACATGGAGAGACCAGCACTGTATTCCTGGCTCCTGGCTCCTGCTCCTGGCTCCTACAGGGGCTGATGTTGTGAGCATTTGGGGCATGAACCAGCAGATGCGAGTGCTAGTGCTCTCTTTTTCTCCTCTCACGTAATAATGTTAAAAAAGAGAGATCATGAATAAGCCAATAATTCGGTACTTTGAAAGGATTGATAAAATTGAAAAAAAAAAAAAAAACCTTGTGAAACTAATCAGAGGAAATAGAGACAAGGCATCAAGACAGTAACATCGGGAATAAGAATGGGAGCACACTATAGATATGAGAATGGTAAGATTATACTTTGAACAATTTGATGCCAAGATATTTTAAATTGTAGATAAAATGGACAAGTGCTTGGGAAAATACAATTCACTAAAATAGATATAAGAAATTGGTTTAAACAATCGTATATCTAATAAAATCTGATTTACAACTTGAAAGCTTCCATAGAGAAAACTGTAGGTCAATATGGCTTCACTGGGGAGTTCTAGTTTACATTTAAGGAAAAAATAATAACCAAGTTACATATACTCACTGTAATTTCATCACAAAACACACCAAACACTGGAGTAAGGGAAAGGGTTTTTTTGGGGAAAAACCAGCAGGCTGGAGGGAAGGGGTGAAGAAGGAAAAAGAGAAAATAAAAGAGAGAGAGAGAGAAGAGAGAGCGAGTGAGAGAGCTAGAGAGGAGGAACTGAGAGGGGAGAACAGAGTCAGAAGAGAGAGAAGAGAAGAGGAGAGAGAAGAAAGGATGAGCGCCCTGTGTTCAGGAACAGGTCCTTTTAAAATGTTGCCAGAGTGTGGGCAGGGAAGCAGGAACAGCGAATCCCATTAGGTTGGGGGTGGAGCTTGGCACCAGTGCTTGGGCCATGTGGCTACCTGGCTTTCAGTAATAGCGGTGGGGCCTAGGGCCTAGGATGTAGATCAGGGTGTAGATCGTGCCATAGATAAGACTGTGCCATTTTCCTAACACTCAGAGAATAAAAAACAAAGAAACACAACCTCACTCATTTTGTGAAGCCAACAGTTGAAATTAATATTATGAGAAAGAAAAAGAATAGCCAGTCACATCCATCCCAGAGGCAAAGACAGTCAAAGCCAGAATTTACAAATGGGATTACTTCAAATTGAGAAATTTCTGTTCTGTAAAAGAAGCAGAAAAGTGAAGAGGCAACTGACAGAATCAGAGAAATTACTTGCAAACTATGCAATGGATAAAAAATAACTAGAATATACAAAGAGATCAAGAAACTCCATAACAACAAAACAAACAGCTCAGTTAAGAAATGGGTAAAGGATTTAAACAGATTTTTCAAAACAGGAAATATAAATGGCCAATAGACATGAAAAAATGCTCAGGAACACTAGCCGTCAGGGAAATGCAAATCAAAACCACAATGAAGTTTCACTTTCCCCGTTAGAATGGCTTTCCTACAGAAATCAACAAAGAACAAATGCTGGTGAGGATGTGGAGAAAAAGGTACCCTAATCCACTCTTTATGGGAATGAAAACTGGTAAAACCACTAAGGAAGACAGTTTACAGATACCTTAGAAATCTGAATAGAGTCCTATCATATGACCTAGAGATCCCATGCCTGGGAATTTACCCAAAGGAAATTAAATCAGCAAATAAAAGAGCTATCTGCACCCCCATGTTTACTTCAGCTCAATTCACAATAGCTAAGACATGGAATCAACCTAAATGTCCATCAACTGAAGACTGGATAAAGAAATTATGGGATATGTACTCCAAGGAATACTACACAGTGGGAAAAAATAAAAAGGTGAAATCCAGTTATTTTTTGCAACAAAATGGGTGAATCTAGAAAATATCATGCTTAATGAAATAAGCCAGTCCCAAAGGGACAAATCACATATGTTCCCCCTGATATGTGATAACTAACAGAGCACCTAAAAGGAAACATGTAAAAGTGAAATTGACACTTTGAAAAGCAATCCCAGGAACATCCCTTGTCCTGTCTGTTGAGGACCAGTTTTATTATTATTATTTTGTTTTCTTTCTTAATACCATTAGTTGAACTCTTTACCTAACACAGAATTAATCATACGTGTATAAAGTCAAATGTAAAAATAGATCTTGGTTAAAAATAAGAGTGGAAATAACAGAGGGAGGAGGAAGCCTGTAGCTATAAAATTGCATAATTCTGCATATAATTCTACAGACTTGCTACTAAGTGTACCATTTAAAAACTTCCCATGGGACCCCAATTCCATTAACCTGGTGGTAAAAATGCCACCTTAAGTGTTAAAGTAATCATATTAACTGTTAAAATGATCAAATAGATAGGATTAAGTGTTAAAGGGATCAAAGAAATAAGATCATGTGTCTGGTAATAATAACAGATAGAATCAAAAAGGAGACAATGTCCCAACATGGGAAGCAGTCCACAAAGCAGACTGATAGAATGACAATCACTTTAAAAGCACCGTGGGGGGCGGAGCCAAGATGGCGGAATAGTCAGGGCGCGCACCGATAGTCCGGGAAAATTTAGTTTAATAAAAGGGGAGTTACGGTAGCCTCAGAAAAAAGAACCAGGAAAATATTGCAGACAAAACTCTTCTGGATCCAGTGGGCATGAATCGGAGGACCTACTGGGAGAACAAGGTCGCCCACCGCGCGCGAAAGCCGAACCGCAGGACCGAGCCGCGGGACTGAGCCGCGGAAGCCGAGCCGCGGGACTGAGCTGCGCAAGCTGCAGGGTCTGCGCGCAAGTGCTCGAAGGGGAGTGCAACAGCAGGGAGACTTGGGAAGTCCAGGGCTCCGAGTCCACACATCGGCGCTGGAAGGGGAGCAGACCTGCGTGGAGAGCGTGGGAGCCCACAGTTCGGGACACCAGCGGCAGACTCAACACACCAGCGCTGGAACGCGAGGTGAGCTGAACCTCAATAACCCGAGACACCGGCAGGCAAGCGGAGAGAGGAGACTAGAGGGAACGACCCCCGGGGCGGGGGGGACTTCACCAAGCTAACTGGAAGAGAGAGAGAGGGAAAAAAAAAAAAAGGTGACTGGTATGGACACGGGTTTCTCTCTCTCCGCTCACCTCTCAAGGGCGAGCAAGACAAAGAGCAGGCGCCATCTTGGACATACGTCATAAGCAGAGCGCCCTCAGGTCTGCACCGGCCCTGAGCCTAGCAGTAAAACCTGACTCTGGGTGGGGCGAATTAACAGGAGATTAGGACTTAGTAAATTTATGGTGCTACTGAACTGAGACTGTGAAAAAAGAGACGGTGGGGGAGAGAACTCACGGAATTCACGTGAGCACTCTCCAGAGACGCTACAATTCCGTAACTTTGGCAACCCAGTGGGAGACTGAAGGAGAATTTGAGCCCACTCTAAGGGCCGAACAGATTCCCTGTGTGGTCCTTGGGAAAGAG